TAGTGTACCATTTTAGTTCCCTTGTATTTTTACTAATTTTATTTTGAGTTCTTTTCTTAGTGGTTGCTCTGGAGATTACATTTAACATCTTAATACAATCTACTTTGGATTAATATCAACTTAATTTTAATTGTATATAAAAATTTTGCTATAGTATAGCTCTGTTCCTTCCCTCCTCCCTTTGTGCTTTTATTGACATACAAATTACATCTTTATACATAATAAGTCCATCAACACATTTTTATAGTTACTAGTCCATGTAGTTGTCTTTTGAATTAGATAATAGAAGAAAAGAATTACAAAAATAAATCTATATTGTCTTTTGTATTTATCTTTACCAGTGTTCTTTATTTCTTATGTGGATTTGAATTACTGTCTATTGTTTTTTATTTCTCCCAGAAGGATTCTCTTCAGTATTTTTTGTGGGACATGTCTGCTAGCAACAAATACTCTGTCCTTGTTTATCTGGGAATGTCTTGATTTCTCCTTCATTCTTCAAAGATAATTTTGCTATATTTCCTTAAATGGTATGATCCAGTAAGTCTCCCAGCCTTTGCTGTGGTGCTCTGTGTGTGCATTGGGGCATGATTTCAATGCTCTGTCAGGTAGTTTACAACTTTGCCTTAGCATTCACTTGCTGCTTGTGTAGTGCCTCAAGGCCAACCAGAGGTGAGAGGTTAGGGCATTCTCAGCTCTTTTCTGAGAATACGTGTGCCCAGCCATAGAGATTTCTGGGAATATGTCAGAGATTTTCAAAGTCCCCTATGGACATTAATTCTCCAGTTTTTCCTTTTAAGGTTTTTGAGCAGCTTCATTTGTGCCAACTGTTCCCCCCCCCCCACTCAGGCAGCTGTGATTTTAAACAATTGCAGCTGATTAATGCTTCCTGAAAAGGATGTTCACAATGAGTGTGCTCTGAGTCAGGTGGAATAAAGAAAAGCCCTATAGGGCCGGCCCCGTGGCTTAGCAGTTGGGTGCACGCACTCCATTGCTGGCGGCCCAGGTTCAGATCCCAGGCGTACACTGACGCACCGCTTCTCCGGCCGTGCTGGGGCCACGTCCCACATACAGCAGCTAGAAGGATGTGCAGCTATGACATACAACTATCTACTGGGGCTTTTGGGGGAAAAATAAATAAAATTATTAAAAAAAAAAGGGGCCGGCCCCATGGCTTAGCGGTTAAGTGCACGCGCTCCGCTGCTGGTGGCCCGGGTTCCGATCCCGGGCGCGCACCAATGCACTGCTTCTCCGCCATGCTGAGGCCACGTCCCACATACAGCAACTAGAAGGATGTGCAGCTATGACATACAACTATCTATTGGGGCTTTGGGGAAAAAATAAATAAATAAATAAAGAGATGCTTAGAGTTTAAAAAAAAAAGAAAAGCCCTATAAGTGAGAGTTTCCAGGGAGCTACCAGACAGGCCAAATAGTGACAATTCTCTGGGAATGGGGCATTTTGGGGAGCTCCAAACCCATTCTGCATCCTCCAGTGGCTGCTAGATTGCTGTTTTTCAGATACTGTAGTTGTGAGGCTGTTGGTTTTCAAAGCTAAACTAGAGCTGGGAAGAGGGAGAATGGAAATAGAGCAAGTTAAAGCCCAATAAATCTTGATATTCTTACTGAGAGTCAGCCATTTTTCTTAAATAAACACTTTTTGGATTGTTGCAAGCCTTTGGTTGATTTCCAGAGTTCTGAAAAAGTTGATTTTGACAATTTTTCAAGTGTGACTGTATTTATGTAAGAGCAGATTTTCAGAGTCTTTCTCTCCCATTCTGGAAATCTAGAGCTCAAAGATAATTTTTATTATGTTCAATTTTTACTTTACTCAATTACTGGAGAACTATATCCCTCCAGAGATGCAACTCCATTGTATGCCACTTTGCCTCAATTCAATTTTACAAGTTTTTATTGCCCTCCTATTGGTTCCTCAGAATTGTGCTTCCTGTTTCTCAGTTTTCTAAGAAATTTTGTTTGGTAGTTTAGAACAAGAGTGCCAAATCCTGCCTATGGCCTGGTTGTTTTTAGATGGCCCCCTGATGTAAAGAATATTTATTATATCTCTAAGGGTTGTAAAAAGAAAAAAAACCCAAACAAACAAGACTATGTGACAGAGACTATCTGTGACCAGCAAAGAGAGCCTAAAATATTTACTATCTAGCCCTTTACAGAAAAAGTTTGTCAACCTCTGATTTATAGCGAAGGGATGGTGGGTTGGGAGAAGTGAATTTATTTGTTGTAGTTGCCTTTGTTGTGTTAATAGTGATTCAATATTCCCTTGAAGAGTCCCAAATAATAGCTGGAAAATACCCTACAGATTGTCAGTTTCAAAGTCTGCATTTTCTTGATGAAGAAACCAAGAATTAAAGACTTGCTCAATGTCACAGTACTAATTGGCCAGGGCTAAAACCTCAGGTATCTGAATACACTTTACTCCTCTTTCCATTCTAAGCTGCCAAAAAGTTTTCCTTCCCCTTCTTTCTCAGCAGAAAGCATTCTCAATGTTAGATAAATAAGTCCCTCTCCTCCCCATTCTTGTCCTTCTTCCTCATCTTCACTTTTTCCTCTACCTCAAGAAGAAGCTGTACTCTCCAATTTTCTTGGACAGTCCTCTACTGAAGTTCTCTATTTCCATCATACCAAAGAGACTCTCTCAAATATCCACAGAGTTGACCCTAAATTTTCCAGTTTCCTTTAGTATCTTGCTATAATGTGAATGAAAACAGTGGTTTTCAAACTGTGCTTCATTTGGGGATGGGTGAGATTCTGCCTTCCCCATGTCTGGTTCAACCAGAACAACTGCACTTTTATTTATTCTATGTATTGGGCTTCTAAGAAAAATTTCATTTGAATAGAGGATTTAAAGGGAGAAGAGAAAAAGAGATTGAGAGAGAGATTTGAAAATCATTGATTTAAACTATGGGATGAATTAAGTCCAAGAGGAAAAAAATCCAATTAGAAAATGAACACAAGACACAAAGAAACATTTCACTGAAGAGTGCAAAAATCAATCAATGGAGGATTTCCAAATAGAGCTCTGGGAGCAATGGAAAAAACCAATGCCATATCATCCATCTCTCCTCAAAACATTGACAAGGCTTGGGGCAATATTGGAGCCATGAATCTTAATTCATGTTCGGAAATGGAAGCATCAGGAATTAAGTTGGAAGTAGGTAGATGGGGTACATTTTCTGAGTTAGGCATTTGTTCAAGGCCTGGCAGTTCTCTGGGAGCCTGAAATGAACCTGCATATATATTCACAACTGATTTTTAACAAAGGTGCAAAAATCAGTCACTGGAGGAAAGATAGCCTTTTCCATAGTTGCTGCTGGACCAATTAGATATCCATAGGCAAAAAAATGACCCTCAACCTAAACCTCACATCTTATGTAAAAATTAACTCAAAAATGGATTATAGATGTAAATGTAAAACATTTAGAAAGGAAACAGAGGAGAAAATCTTCTGATCTTCGGCTAGGCAAAGACTTCTTAGATTTGATAACAAAAACACAACTCATATTTGGGTGGTGAACGTGATGTAATCTATGCAGAAATACAAGTATAATGATGTACACCTAAAATTTATACAATGTTATAAACTAATGTTACTGCAATAAACAAAAAATTTTTTAAAAAAAGAAACTTTGAGAGACATATAAACAGATTGCACTGTATGAACCTTATTCCCATACTAATTTCAATAAATTATAATTTTAAAAAAAACACAACCCATAAAAGAAAAAAAATAATAAATAGGATAAATTAGACCTCATCAAAATTAAAAACTTTTCCTCTGTCAAAGACCATGCAAAGGGTATGAAAAGACAAGCTATAGCCTGGGAGAAAATGTCTGCAAGCCACATATCTAACAAAGACATATATAGAATATAAAAATAACTTTTAAAATGCAACAGTAAGAAAAAATGAACAAAAGACACAAAGAAACATTTCACTGAAGAAGAATTACAGATGTCAACTATGCACATGAAAAGATGTTTAACGTCATTAGCCATCAGAGAAATGCAGATTAAAACTATAATGAGATATCACTACAGACCTACAAGAATGACTAAAATAAAAAGTAGCAAAAACACGAAATACTGGTGAGGATGTGGATAAACTGGATCACTAAAACTTTTCTGGTAAGAATGTAAATGGTACAGCTACTCTGGAAAACAATATGACAATATTTACAAAACTAAACATGCAATTACAAGTAGTTGTACTCTTGAACATTTATCCCAGAGAAATGAAAACTTATGTTCACACAAAAACCTGTACATGAAGGTTTATAGCAGCTTTATTTGTAGTAGCCCAAAACTGGAATCATCCCACATATCGTTCAATGGGTGAATGGTTAAACAAACTATGGTACATCCACACTAGGGAATACTGCTCAGCAATATAAAGGAGTGGACTAACGATACATGCAACAACTTGGATGAATCTCCAGGGAATTATGCTGAATAGGAAAGTCCAATCCCAAAAGGTTAAATACTCTATGATTCCATTTATATAACATTCTTGAAATGACAAAATTATAAAGATGGGAAACAGATCATTGATTGCCAGGGCTTAGGGATGGAGAACAGGTGGATGTAGCTATAAAGGGGTTGCATGAGGGAGCCCTTTGGTGAGGGTACAGTTCTGTATCTTGACTGTGGTGATGGTCACACAAATATAGACATGTGGTAAAATTACATGGGGCTACACATGCACACACACACACAGACATACACACACACAGACACACACGCACACACGAGTGCATGGAAAACTGCAAGATGATACCATTGGGGGAAATTGAGTGAAGGGTGCATTGGTACAAGGATATCTCCTTGTACTTCAATTTCCTGTGAATCTATAATTATTTCAAAATAAAAATTAGAGAAAATATTAATTAAAAAAACAAAAGCAGTCATATAATCTTGCCCATATCAGAGCCCAAAGCCCAAGATGCTAAGAAAAGGAGAATTAACTTTATCCCTTATCTTCTTACAGGACCTGTACCTGCCTCTGTCCTTGGATGACTCGGACTCACTTGGTGATTCCATGTGAAGGAGGAGAGAGCGTTCAGAGTCCAGAGTACAAATCCAAGCTTACCGTTACAATAGGGTACTTCTGCTCAAGTGTCCAACAGGGCTATTGGTGCTTTCAAGTTTTTATTTTTTGGTGGTGTTGTTATTTTTAAAAACATACTGTAATATGTTGGGTTTATTTTCCTGTGATTTCTCCTCTGGGCCACTGATCCACAGTTACCAATTATAAGAGATAGATTGATAACCATCCTTTGGGGTAACTTTCCAGGGATGCAAAATGTGCTAGTCCATGACGTTTCTATTGAATATTTAGGCGACTGCGTTATTTTCCCCGTCTCACTTTGCTCATACATGACAGTCTTCCTTCTGTAGAGGGTTGCTTACATACACATCACTTAAAATGTGTGTGTGGGGGGAAAAACCTCATTGGCAAATCCAAGAGTGACAAACACAAGTGCCCCTTGTCTTCCGATCTCAAGAATGCTGGAGGCTCCTAGGAGGACGGCAAGGCAGCTTCCCAGCCTCGCTCTTCACTCCTGATTGAGCCCCGAGTTTGTTGTCTAGCACCAATTCTGGCTGCCAAGGGGGAGAAACACCAGCAACTTGTAATTCTGACACCAGATGCTTAGGACCCCAGTGTGAGGGCTAGCTAAAAGAGACTAGGCAGCATTGGGAAACACTGTAGACATTTCAGTAGAGTTTATAAAGCACAGTGAATTCCTTGTCAACCTCTCCACTGGGACACTTTGGAATCAATAAGCAATTAATAAGAGTTGGGGGTGAGGGACTTCATATACCGGATTCCACTAGGAGGCTGTCTAACATAGCAAGTTATTACACAAACTGTATGGTATCCATCTATCTCTATTCTATTGAATGCCTTGTAAACAGCCAACACTGAAAACACTGTGAAATTTGTTTTCAGGTCTGACACCTTTTGGTCGCTTTTTATAGCAGGAAGCCAATATCCTTTTTATAAAACATTTCTGTATTTCAGGAGCAAACTCTTCAGGCTCCTTTTTTATAAACTGGTGATTTTCTTTTGTCTAAAAAACACATGCAGAAAATTTATCAAAAAAATGCAGAAGAATAACGTAGTTTAGAAATCATGCTGTCACTGCCAAACAGAAACCTCCAGGAGAAAACAAAATGAGTAGCAGAGGCCAATTCAATAGAATCAGTCTTTTGATAACTTTTTAACAGTTATGCTTACATTAATAATTTCAATGTGGACCAGACATTCTAATTATATTTTAAATGAATGTTATGGCATATTTTAAGCAACTCTTTTTTATCTATAATCCTGGTATTGCATACTGAAGACACAGAAACCTTTCACTCGTCTTTAACACTAGAAAGGATTTTCTCTTTGCTAAGGAGTGATCATTTGACATAGTTCTTAGTCTTTGAGGTACAGGTTCATAACACTGCTTTTTGTTTGTAATCACAGCCCATAATGGCAAAGACAATGAACTTTAAGTGAAAGCCATGCATGCCAATTCTGTGTTTGCTTTTAGCAGATATGAAGATGTCCTTATTTCTTTGTAATTGTTCGGATAGTTTGAAAGGTGCAGCATTCGAAGCCAAGCTGCTGTTTGGCTATTGAACGACTTGCAGTTGTTCCTCCACTTTAACTGGAATAAGCTTGCTGTGTGTGTGTGCAGCTGCTTCATAATTGGGAGATACTACAGGATACTCCAACATGGATCAGTGACAACGGCTGATGTGCATTGTGTAGGAGGGGACTCAATGGTGGAAGGAGTAGCTCAGATGCCCCAGACAGGCTTCAGATGTCCTTAGCTACAAGAAACATTTTTGGTTCAAGAAAAGTCCAGATGATGGTAGTACTGGTTCCTGGTTAACAGGTCATTGAAGAACCCCAAATTTGAGAATCTCTTTTTGCCCCTCTTCTTTATTTGTAGGCCTGTTAGAAACCATTAAGAAGCCCATTTTACTTACCCCCTACCTCTTTCTAGAAGCTAAGGTTTTCTTAGTACCTCCCAGAATAGTTTGTAGTTAATTGGGAAAAACTGGTACTTGGAATGGGGGGGTGTAGAGAGTGGTAAGAGGCCTGTTTGTAAAATTCAGGCCCGATCCCCAAAGATTCCACCCATAGTCTTTCTCCAGATCTCATTTAATCCAATTCCTTCAATTTAAGATGAAACAGAGGCTGAGGCAGCTCAATGACCTGCTGGCAAAGAGCAAGACCAGAGGAGGAATTCAGATTTCCTCATGTGCAGGCCCTATGCTACCTCTCTGAGCATTTCCTTGCTTGTGGAATATGCACCATTAGAAAGTACTAAATGGACATATTTTCTTTAGAATGATCTTTGAACCAACAATCTTCTATAATAATAGTAGATTTTCCATTTTTCTTTTAATCAATTATAAGGAAATGTTTCTGTACTGCCACTTCAGAGGGGCTTGACATAGTTAAAAATTCAAGCCTTCAATAATTGCATTTTAAATTAGCCCATTTTCAAGACAAAAAATAAAATTGTAACTGAGCGCCTTCACCTCTGTCGTTCATTCCCAGTTTTACCCAATCCAGTTTTACCACTAAAGTCCCATTGTGTTACCTTCTGCACAGTCAGCAAATATCAAGTATTTAGCAAGCATTTACATCCACTCCCCCATTCTCCCTCCTTCTTTTCACACACACACACAAACACACACGCAATCCATCTGTTGCTTGTTCCTACCTCCTGATTTTTCTCCCTTACAGAAAAAGAAATAGGGACAAAGAAGGGGAAAATGTATATATGGGGGCTGGGCTGAACAACTTCATAAGTAGTGTTAACTAGGGGTAAATTGAGAGAAAAGTTCCTTTTCTCTTCACTGTTTGGGAAAGGATAGCCATTAGCATGACTGCTTCGTGTCCTTACAGACTTTAGTATTAGCCTAGATTGAATCATAGAGTTTTCTAGCTGGAAGGAACCTTAAGATCACATCATCTACTCCAAATTCCTCATTTTCAGGCCAGGAACGGAGATACAGAGGTAAAGTAATTTCCCCAAGGTCACACAGCTGGCTAGGGGCAGGGCTGGGATTAGAACCCACATCTCCTGGCTCTTATTCCAGGGCCTTTTCCCGCTGAACTGTATTGCCTTCCACTAGGCTCCTGAGAATTCTTTCCCAGGGTCATGTTGCATCTTGGAGCCATATGCTGCTGCCCTGATCTCAGTGGAAAATCCTCCCAGCAACCTAATACAGCTCTTTCTCCCTGTATTCATATGGTTCCCATCCACATGGACTGCAGATGTCTCCAAAGAGAAGGAGGCATTGAGGACCAACAGGAACAATGGGGTCCCTCACCTTGTCCATCCAACACAAGGGATCACTGCCCCACCTTGAGGAGCTCTCAGAACAGCCCCCTGAGCTTCTGTCCTGTCCAAATGGAATGGAGGAAGACTGGTTTTCTTTGTCAGCTCAACTCATCTCATCTCATACTGGTTGGTCTTCACGGGCTGATGGAAATGTTTCTTGTTCTTAGAGCAGGGAAAGGAAGGAAGGAAGAGCGGAACAATAGCTTTGTTCATCCTAACTTTCTGAGGTGGCTTTTCAGTATTTTTAAATGACTTTGGCTATGATTCATTGGCAATAATTTCTTTTAAAATATGGGAGTAAGATTAGCTAGAGAAAATAACCTGGTCTTGCTATGGTAGCCCTCATCCACAATGTCCCCATAGCCATCCTGCCCTGATGGGGACAATTTCTAGGTATAAGCAAGGGGCTTTGTGACCAAAAAGTACCCTGGCTGATGTTAAACATTTGCTTCTTGTATTTGCACTAAAATAGCAAGGTGTGTGCTCTACACACCATACTCATCTTCTTGTGTATACTGCTCCTGTGGCCTTCCATGGCAGAAACCAGGGCAACAAGATCTGAACACATAGTTTTCCTTGCAGCAAGGCTCTTCCTGGGAACTAAGGGGTCTTCATTAGTTCAGTTCCAAGAGACCTCCTTCTGGGCTTACCCCACTCCTAAGGAAGTTCTCTCTCTTTCCTGCTTCTTCCCAACCAGCAGTAACCAAGGAACCTTAAAGTGGATGTGTAATTATCTGAAGAAGGCAAGAAGGGGTCTGAGCACCTAGATCCTTCTTTAAATCACCCAGCCCGAGGCTTAGACCAGCAATCCAGTGCTTGCCTTGGACAAAATTGTGTCTACTTCCCTAGTCCCTTCAAAACTCTGGATGGTCATGCCCCCAGTCCCCCTCGGATTTGGTTCTACATAGCTTTTCTTTTCTTAAAAACACATCTCCATTGGACAAGGGAACAAGCATGTCCATGTCCCCAAAATGAGCTCCAGCACACTGATGAGAATTTTCCCAAAGATCAGCCCAGCTCAGAAACATCTATGCCAAGAGACTTTCCTAGACAGATGCACTGGGACCATGGGGTTTGAATGACCTGTTTCACTATCCAGTTTGCTATGGAAATAAAAGGCAGTGGAGATTTCTTTCTTTAAAAAAATGCGTTGGAACCTGTCCTTGGCCACATGGGGCCACCTGGATCTCCAAGGCCAGGCCTCACTCACGTATTGCCCTCATTGCATTAAGGGATTTGGCTCTTAGGCCTAGGCTGGTTTCCTAAGTAAACCATCGGTATTTTGAAACTCATCTGGGATGGGGGGGGGGGTTAAAGTCCTATGTTTTGGGACTGGCAAACTTGAGAGAATAAAGGCCAGCCGTTGATATGCCAGAAGTGATCTGAGACCTCTTGTATAGCAATGGAGCCTTGCTGGGCTTCCTTGGTCTCTCTCCTAGTATGGAACTTCGAAGCTATCACACTTCTGCCTCTGCGTGAAGAAGGAGACCCCGTATTAGCCTCGTCCACTGTTCTGTGATTTTATGCAGGGTTTCCTCTTCCCTACAGGTGTGACCCCCTGGAGCAAGGATACTGCATTGATTCCTCATGCCTACCTTTTGGCTGGAGAGGCATCTCCAACAGGTTCTCTGGCTGTTGGTGGCCCAGACCCAGTCGAGTGCTGTTAACAGTCAGTGGATTGCCCTTAGCCCTAAAGGCTGTGATTATGGACCAAGACAACACAAGTCATTGTTTAAAAATAAATTCCTAATTTTATTCTTCCTCTGGCTAGCAGACCTCACTTCCCTAGTAGGTAAAGGGCTAGAGATTTTTGTAACACAGCAGCCAAGACGTGTGCAGGGAGGAAAATGCGTTTCTAAACCCATAGAGCAGTGGCTCCCATGGGCAACCTACTATGGGCTGGGACTGTTAGCAGTTTCTCTTAACCCCTTCCACTTTTTCTTTTCAGAGACTAGAAGGCTCCCTCTCCATCAGCCTGTCTTTCAGTATGCCTGGCTAGAGAATTTTGCCCCTCCTATCTCTTCAGGAAAAGGTGACTTCCTCCTCTGTCTACCCCACCCTGGTCCCCAGAGCTTGTCTTCGTCTCCAAAGATCTAGTGTGGTATTTACACCCCACCTCTTGGTATTGGTGTTGCTTTCTGCTTGTTTCCTGTTAAGGATCCATGCAGCCCTCCTACTTTGGCTTAGGCAGTGTGACACTGGTTATCATATGACAAGACTCTTGAACTCCCCTGCTAACTGCCTAACTTTTTATCTTAGTTTATAGGCTTCAACTTCCTCTGGAATCAGAGGTAGTCTTATCTTACCTTGGATGCCCGGGGCTAGGAGAATATAGAATTCCCATTGGGAATTAAGGCATCTTCCTGCACCTGATTAGAAGGACATGCTAGTTGGGAGAGGTCAGATGGCACAACAGAAGTCAGAGAAAACACCTTGTAAACTAAGGCAAAAAGTTGGAGGCATTGGAACTTCTCGTTTCTGGGTTAATAACCTGAGGAAATCAATGGCTTTTTGCCACTCCCTACCTCCCATGTGTATCTCTGTCTTTTCTTTCTCTCTCTAGTTCACTATGTTTGCTCTTGGTTTTGTCCTCTGTGTTATCATGCTCTTTCCACAGTACAAATGTCCATCCTTTGTCCTCTGCAGTTCTTCTCTCTCTCTCTTTTGTTGTCTCCTTCTTTATTTTTTCCTTCCTCCTTGTCGAGGCATGGGTCATATGCTTCTTCTTAGCCCTGTGATTTTGCCTTGGTGATGAGAAGTTATTTCAAGACTCAACCAGCCCTGATCCTACCCTAGTCCATTCAGAAGTTGGTTGATGGGAATCAAGCTGATCCTGGCCCTCTCTTCTCCATTTTCAGTTGTAATTCCTCAGAGCAGATCCTCACAAGCAGTTTCCTTATAGCTCATGTATCTTTGGGTCTTTGCCTTCCAAACACTGTACAGAATACTTTGTGGTTCCTTTTTAGTCTGCCATTTTGTGGAGCAGTGAAGTGTGCTCAGAGACATAATCAGCTGAAGCGAAAAATCCACCCATGGATTCACATCAGCTAAATACTATTGATTGATTTTTAAAAATTTGCTCATAGTTTCAAAAGCTGCAATATAATATAATGAGAGACCACAGGTAATTTCTCCTGTCATTCGGTTTGGCTGGGTGGGGGTGTTGGGCGGGGGTAGCAATTTGTTTAAAGCTTTACCATTACACATAAAGCTGTCTGTAATAACCTTATGTTTTGGGCTCGCCAACTGTTGAACTGTTTTAGCTAAACCGATAGGCAATTGGGGTTGATTTAAATGAAGAGGGTATTTAACAAGTCCATACTATAAAA